TAGTAATAGACTTTCTCGTAGTGATAGACTTCCGTCAAATGCTTTTCGGTTAACTCAAACTTTTTGCACGTTTTCTGAGGCATACAGTCGGGTAGAGATCCCTTCCATTTCATGTCTGTATCGCAGAACAACTCATGGCTCGCGAAGTCGATGGGAGCGCCGGATCCGTCGGTGCGCGAGAATCCCTGCGCGCATTTGAACGCATACCTCGTGTGATGATTAATCACATGTGTGTCCAAACCGATCGGTATTTCCGGTGTCCCGCATATGGGTTGATGGGGATCGCCGTCGTTGGTGTACTGGTCTGCCAGTATGAAAGTCGCTAAATCCATGTCCACCACATCCCCGGCCTCCGTGTCGATGGCGATCATATTTGACTTGTTTTTCAACTCCTTTGCAAAGTTTGGTGCGTCCAGTGACTCGCATGAGTACCAGTAGTCAAAACGGGTTGAGTTGTGAGCCCAGGGGCTGACGGCGCTGTGGGAGTGAAGTGAACACTTGCGGTACGGACTGACTCTCACATCAGTTATATTCCATTTGGTTCTTCGGATCCGTTCATCAATTAAATGATTGACAACCGATAGACTGATGCGAACCAATTGGATGAGTGATTTTGACTGCAAATACAGTTCAATGCGATAACTCTTTGCTCCATAGGCTCTGAGGGGTTGTCCGTATCGCTCGACTATAAAAGAATTGCCAAATTTGGCGAACGGTTCCAACGCTCCGGAGATGTTATACTCTTTGATGAGTGTATTATTTTGTTTGTTATAAATTTTAGCCACATTTATATCATTATTTCGGAACGCGTTTCCTATAAATAGGATAATTGTTTTTGTTAAATAACACTATTAGTTTGGTGTCAAGTAATTAACAAGTGAATATTATACACTTTATAATTACATAGTCACTTATTGTAACTTTCGTAATAATTGTGATTTAATCACATACTACTAAAGTCTTAAGACTTACCACAAACCGCGTGATTTCCAATCCATTTCCCTTTAACACACTTTCTATACTGTTTTAATGAGATATAGTCATCACACTTATAAACCACTGCCTCGTCTTCATTATAAATGCTTTGTGTGGGGGATAACTGTGATTTGGTGGGATGGCCCGGGTCACCACAATAACCAGTCACTGATACTGAACTACAATTAAATACTTTTAGTATGTTTAATAAAATAGCAACTATAAATATGCTTTTCATTTTAGACACCCATTAAACACAAGTTCTCAATCGATTAAACAGTTTTTTGTAATATTTATATTAATTTGATTTAAACTCTATTTCCTTTTGTCTGTAAATAATCCAAACCATACAACAAAGTTTTATATCCTCTAATAATCCGGGACTTTAAGCCTACTATCAATCATTTAAAAGCTATTTTAAATGGAAATACTATTTACGTTCAAGAAGTTGACATTAAAAAAATGCTTTTGGAAACTAAACTGCAATTCCTTAGTTTGTATATTTGTTGTCAAATTTAATCTAAATAAATTGTCTTAAAATGTTTTCAATCAGTGAAATGATTGAAATTATGTACTAAACCGGAGATGACTTGTATTGCGAGAAACAATCAGTTGTGAAACATAGTTAACACAAAAAAAATGTGTTTTCAATCGTAATGTTCAGTACATCGACGGAAATGAATATTTAGTTTTTCTAATTGTNCTATTGATTGGGAAAATTATACACAAATTCAATGCCTTCATAACAACCTAATCAATGAATTGACCCGAAAAATAATAATAACAGTGAAAAGATCGCATTAAACATAATAATTGCACGTAAAGTGTATTGAAAATTATACTCTAATGTTATGTTACGGTATATCCCATAACAAACTCATTGAGATGTGACCAATGGTTTGGTTTGCTATGAACAGTATTTAGAGGCATTTTCGCATTCATTTTCATTTGAAATCTTATGATAATTATAATTACAAATCAAAAACAAGCGATGATTAAAATTGAATATATTTTTCATTCACTGTTTTTGACAAATGCTTCCTTATATTTGTTTCAACGCATTCATTTCACTATTAATTATGTTTTTGGATATAAAACAATCGCATGATTTAAATAAATTAGTAGAAAATTATGCAAAAAATACTAGATTTGCTTTCAACACGTTTACTGAAAGTTTTAATACAAAATATTATTTCTTAGAATACAATTAGAAAACTAAATATTCATTTCCGTCGATGTACTCAACATTACGATTGAAAACACATTTTTTGTGTTAACTATGTTTCACAACTGATTGTTTCTCGCAATACAAGTCATCTCCGGTTTAGTACATAATTTCAATCATTTCACTGATTGAAAACATTTTAAGACAATTTATTTAGATTAAATTTGACAACAAATATACAAACTAAGGAATTGCAGTTTAGTTTCCAAAAGCATTTTTTTAATGTCAACTTCTTGAACGTAAATAGTATTTCCATTTAAAATAGCTTTTAAATGATTGATAGTAGGTTTAAAGTCCCGGATTATTAGAGGATATAAAACTTTGTTGTATGGTTTGGATTATTTACAGACAAAAGGAAATAGAGTTTAAATCAAATTAATATAAATATTACAAAAAACTGTTTAATCGATTGAGAACTTGTGTTTAATGGGTGTCTAAAATGAAAAGCATATTTATTGTTGCTATTTTATTAAACATACTAAAAGTATTTAATTGTAGTTCAGTATCAGTGACTGGTTATTGTGGTGACCCGGGGCATCCCGCAAAATCACAGTTATCCCCCACACAAAGCATTTATAATGAAGACGAGGCAGTGGTTTATAAGTGTGATGACTATATCTCATTAAAACAGTATAGAAAGTGTGTTAAAGGGAAATGGATTGGAAATCACGCGGTTTGTGGTATTCCCCCACACAAAGCATTTATAATGAAGACGAGGCAGTGGTTTATAAGTGTGATGACTATATCTCATTAAAACAGTATAGAAAGTGTGTTAAAGGGAAATGGATTGGAAATCACGCGGTTTGTGGTAAGTCTTAAGACTTTAGTAGTATGTGATTAAATCACAATTATTACGAAAGTTACAATAAGTGACTATGTAATTATAAAGTGTATAATATTCACTTGTTAATTACTTGACACCAAACTAATAGTGTTATTTAACAAAAACAATTATCCTATTTATAGGAAACGCGTTCCGAAATAATGATATAAATGTGGCTAAAATTTATAACAAACAAAATAATACACTCATCAAAGAGTATAACATCTCCGGAGCGTTGGAACCGTTCGCCAAATTTGGCAATTCTTTTATAGTCGAGCGATACGGACAACCCCTCAGAGCCTATGGAGCAAAGAGTTATCGCATTGAACTGTATTTGCAGTCAAAATCACTCATCCAATTGGTTCGCATCAGTCTATCGGTTGTCAATCATTTAATTGATGAACGGATCCGAAGAACCAAATGGAATA